TTACATGACACTTACGAATGTAGCTTATCATTTCCTTTTGATGTGGGAGCCTGTTTATACAAGGTATAAGTTACCAAGAAGCAGTACAGGAGATGCAAGTCCACTGCGTGACACCTGCTGAATATTTTCCATTCCGAATGAATCACAAGAGTATAAACAAAACATGTAGCAATAAATAAATGCAGTAAATTCTATTATGAAATTCTAAGCAGGTCCTTATGGAAGTGATACAGAAAGATACAGCATTGACAGTCACAATGAGGGTGCATTAGCCTGCATGGTATCACGTATTAATGGAGGAAAATTATAACCTGCCAGAAGTGCAGTGTTCATAGATTTCACGTGTGAATTTTCAGTGCAAAGTCCTTGCACAAAAAAAGGGTTGGTGATTCAGAATTACAGCAATGAGACAGTGATATCCTTGTTCACTAGCTGACAGAGCAACTAAGACCTAAGCAGAACAGTATGTTTTTGTTACTGTGGCTTCAGGAAGGTGATTTTGGTGATTTACTCCAATTGTAGCACACCTGGAATCACAATATCATCTAACAGAAGCATCCTATGTGTGTGTATTTGTTTGGTTTTTTTTGGCCCCTCCAGACCAAGTACCGTCAGAAGCCGGAAAGTTTGAAGTTCACCGCTGTGGTTGACTCTCCAGATTTGATTCACGCTAAAAACAGCTATCTCCAGTGCAATGACGTAGGTTTCATATGTCTACAAATGATCTTAACTTTCGTTGCGCTAAAGGCATTAAAGAATTGACCTCACTTCCAGAATCAGTTGCATTCAATGTCTTTTGACTCCTCAGAGGCTGTACAAGGCTGGAGACTCTGAAGCCAGGCACAGGTATACCCTGCCTCCTGATCATCCAGATTTTATCCGAGCTCGCCAGAATGCTCTTCATATCAGTGATGTAAGTAACAGAAGTTTTCACTTTCAGGAGTTGACTTCATAACAGTCATTAAAGAAAACAAATTTGCTTGGAAATGAAAAGCTTTCATGAAGGTGTGGAACCTGACATGAACTGAAAAAGGCAAAGCTTGTGGACTGCCAATATGCTGCTTGGCCTGGGAGGGAGGGATCAGGAAAAGTTGTTTATTTTTCTTTTAAAAATTAGTTCTGCTTCCTAGGACAAGAAGCTATTATTAAACATTTCAGTCCCAAAGTATAAGAAATTATACCTAAATATAAATATTTTTTTCTTACATTTGATGAGACAGAGAGAGAATCCCTCTCTGTCTTTGACATGATCTGTCTTCATGAAGTTGCAGTGCTGTGTTGAACCGATCCCTTAGGCTCAGTTCTTAACGTGAGTGCAAATGAATCAGCGAGTGGAATTGGTTTAAAGAGATTTTGTTTCCACTTCACTTCATACAGTGGCACTATCTCTAATAGTTATGATCAAATTTGTCATCTTTAGTTGCAGGGACAGAGTGATCTTAGTTTGAAAAAAGTTTTTAGTTTCTCATTTGTTGGTAAGTCTTCTACACGTACAAGAAAGAAATAGGATTTAAGTTCTTTGATGTGACAGATGAAAAAAATAACGTGGCAAAGGGGTGATTGTACACAAACGAAAGATCAGCCCTAGACCTATTAACAAAACATATCTTAACGTTTGCATTGGTTCTATCCAGGCTACTGGCTCTGGCAGGACTTCTAGCATCTTAATTTACTTTCAAATTAAGCATCAGCTGGCACTAAATCCATCAGAGAAACATGAGAATATTTTTTGAAATATGAAATAGATATCGTGCTGTTTTTCTTATATAATTGCAAACCTTCAAAAGGATGGATCAAAGTCTTCCAGAAAACCAATCAATAAAATCAGAAAGGGACAGCCAAAAATATCTGCTAAGGTGCAACAGCTGGGTAGTGGGACTGGAAGCTGTTGCAAGAGTGCTACTAAAGAAAGAAGAACCAAATCTAGAGAAATTTCTCTTCAAGATGTAAATGTATTTCACACCCACAAAGTCACATTAAATATGTTAGAACTGGCTGTTATTTCAGATGAGTTAATGAAGCCACATGTGGCTACGAAATAGAGACAGGAATCATTAGAAAAGCTTGAACTAACTAGTATTGAAATTATGATGCCATGAAACCCAAGACACTGCAAGTGGATGCATCAAAAGAGAGAATAAGAGTAATATCAATGCAATATTGATGTGACTGATGCATCACAGTTTCTAATAGAAGTTAAACCCAATCAGAAACAACCACGTTCATGTACAAAAGGAAACCCTAGTGGCATTTTTCAGATGAGACATTTTATCGTTATGGGGAATAGAAAACAAGTTGAAGGGCTGTAGAACTGGATCAAAACCTTGGAGATGGTACTGACGACTCTTGAAACAAACAAGCCCAGTAGGATAAAACATTTATTATTACAGTCATGGGACTACACTTAAGAAACTGCAAGGGGGAAATGACTGTTTTGTTCTTTTCTTTTCAACACAGAAAGCTTATAAAACATCTTGGGAACAGACAAGAGCATCTGGCTATGATTTTAGGATTGACGCCATTCCATTCCAGACAGCAAAGGCTTCAAGAGAGATTGCTAGTGATGTAAGAATTGCTTTTCTTCAAACACTTCCCAATCCTATTCCCATGTCACCCCCACTCTGCAAAAATGGGTGAATAAGACATTAGGAAACCTTTTTTTTTGTGTGTGTGTGTGTGCGTAAAAATTGGTAATCAATGAAGTAAATGCCATTTAAATACAAAGATTTCCAACTATAGGCTCTCATTAGTAATGTCCAATACCAAGCTGCTCCATTTCATTTTAAGGAGCTGTTCTTGGGAAGGAGGGATATAGTATTGTAGTTACATAAACTAGGTACCAGGCTATGAATAGTCAGACGTGGGCTAGAATAAAAAGTGGGTCGCCTTTGAACACAGAAGACCTCAGTCAGCAAGAAAGCTGAATATGGAAGAGCTGCATGCTTGAAATGTTTACTTGGTATAGAATAAGACTTTTGGTTACTTTTGAGAGAGGATTGCTTTGGGCCTCTATTTGTTCCACTCCCTTAAAATTAACATCAAGGTCATTCTCCTGTAGTGTCGTATTAGATTAGGAGATGTATTTCGATATCAAACAAACCTGTGGTCTCTGTGCAACACAAAAAAACATTACTGAAAACTAGGTGAGGATGGGTTGTTTCATAATGGAATTTGAAGGTAATCTGAATGTGAAAATGACACTTTTCTCTGCATCTCCCTCAGTACAAATACAAAGAAGCCTTCCTGCGAGACAGAGGCCAGATGATTGGATTCTTCAATGCAAATGATCATGCCCACATCGGACACGTCCTCAGAGTGGGGAAACTCCAGAGTGACAACCTGTACAGGAGTGGATATGCCCAAAACAGAGCACACTTTCAGAGTCACCTTAACCAGCCGGGGTTCCTCCACGCTAAGAGAAGCCAGCAGCTTGCCAGCAACGTTAACTACAAGCAGCCCTTGCACCAATACACTTGTGATCCTGAGCAGCTAAATGTGAAACATGCAAAGCAGGCCTATAAGCTGCAGAGTGATGTAAGTGCAACTGCGAGGCACTGTCCATCCCAGTGGTAAGAGCTATCTGGGTGGCAGTGTCATCACAGACCTTATTTATCAACATAAACATTCTTAAAAGAACTAAAGACTGTTTGCAAAACAAACAAACAAACCACAAAAACCCCAAAAAACCAACCAATTTGTTTACTATTAACCCTGTTCCTCTTTGTATACTCTCTCTCAAAAAACACAGAGCACGTGGTTAATAGTAATACACACTATTGTATGTTTCATTCTCATAGGTAAAATACAAGTCTGACTTGAACTGGCTCAGAGGCATTGGCTGGACTCCCCCAGGTTCTTATAAAGTGGAAAGGGCAAGAAGAGCTGCTGAGCTGGCTTACCTTCGGGAAATGGGGTTGCGGGCTGCTTCTGCTCAGTATGGACCTGAAGCTGTAAGTAACCATTCTTCTCACAAATAGCTACAGCCGTGCTCTTGAGAAGGCAGGTAGGCACACAACCTGTTTAATGCTCCCTGGAGATTACAGTTCTCCCCCTTACTTTAAACAGAATATATATGGTTCCCTCCCTGGGCTTTGTGGCTTTCTGTAAGCTTCAATTTGAAGCAACCTCACAAGGGAATTCAGATCTGTCATGGCTGAGGAATTCCTGTAGGGACTAGAAGTGCCACAGGATAGGATTTTCTTGAACTACAGGGTGTGCTTCCCTTGACTTTGGATATTGCCAGTGGTATACCCACAGAGAGAAAAAGTGCAGGTGCAAGGGATGCCTGGCACAACTCCCTTTTTCTTTTCCTAATTTCAGCAAGACGCATTTTGTTCCCTGTACTCTCCACTGACAGCTGTATTGACAGCCTCACTGTAGACTCGACACGATAATGTGTACTGTGGCATCCTCCACTCATCTCAAAATACAAGAAACTACAAGCTGTTTTCTTCCAGGTTTTCCTTGTTCTTTACCTCCACAAGGTGGCTTCAAGTCTGCTATGGCCCTGTGTAAGAGAGCAAAAGTCCATACAGGGATCTTGTACTGTAGCCCTTACAGTTAAGGAATGTTAAATTACAGTAGAAGAGGAGCTGTGTGTGCTTTTAATACTTGTTTTGTTTAAGCGTTAACTTTGGCAAAAAATCAAACAGTAAGCCCCTCTAAGAGAAACAGGACATATCCATGATTTACATTCCCATCTGTAAAGCTACTGAGGAAATAAATTTTAACTATGGATGAGCAATGCAGTCTGCGGGGACTGGAGGCAGTATATTCTTAGGTCTTACCTGTGATGATGATCTGATGGTACCAGAGAAATCTACAGGTGTGCAATACATCTGCAACTCAGGTGTTTGCTAATGTGTTCATTATTTCATGCTCTAATTAGAAACTAGGCACTGAGCACATTCTGTCCTTGGATATTTGACACGAATGGGTCAGCTATCCACACTTTTCCATGGCAGAGATTGTCTCAGTACAGAGCAGTAATTCAGACTTTGTCTAGTTGTTTCCAGTTGAGGTAATTTTTAATTCGTAAATACATTTATAGAATAAAGAGCTTAGCTTTCTGCTTTCAGCTATCTTCATGCTGTAGTTGTGTTTGATCTTACAGGACCAAGTGGGGCCAGAAGGATCTCAGCAGGTCACAGTTAATCCTGATGCTTCGGAAATTCTGCAAGTCAAGAGAAGGAAAATGCAGCTGTACAAGTAGTAAACAGGAACATGACAAAACGCAAATAGATTTTCATCTTATCCTGCAAAGCCTATTGCTTTTCCATTTTTCTGGAAAGCACAATAGATGACATCTAAGAATTTTTTGTTTTAAAAAACAAACTAGACATTGCAACTTAAAACTGATGTTTCTAACTTGCGTGGATATTTTGTGATTTATTACTATATGTATTACAGAGGTTGATATTTATTTAAAGCTGTAAATGAAATCAATACTAGATGTGATGACTGGCAGGCTCAGCTTTGTACTACAGATGAATGAACCTGATTAGTAGAATATAAAATCATTTGTATTGAATAAATCTGATGAATCTGGTTCCATACTTCTCGTCTTTAGAGATTTATATGTTCCTGTATCATTGGCACCACTGATTTAAGAGAATACAAAAACATGATTTGAGTGGCCTAACAGATGAACAAGACAACAGACGCAAAGTTACTGACTAACCAAAGACATGTCTTTTAGTGGACAATCAAGAATAAATTCTGTTCTTTTAACAGGACATATTCATATCCCGTTCAGGTTTTTGTTTGTTTGTTTTCTTCTTTTCTCAAATCTTCCAAAAGAAAAAAAAAATAATCAAAATTAGTTCCTTAGAAACTACTGACAGCTATTGACAGATTAGGAAGTTTCTTAGAGAAGGTTATAAACCCTGGTATTCAGATGAAGGAGATATTATTTTAAATAATTGACTCTGCTGGCAAACATGTCTATTTTTTGTTTTCTGATTTAATGTCAATCTTATGTTTTCCAATTTTCTATATAGGATTACAGAATCATTGGGCAGAAAAATATATAATTCTACTTGCAAAACTTGTTAAAACCAAAAATTAGCCAATAGATTTAGATATTTTTTTTCAAAAGGATTTAATACCCTCTATGTATGAATTGAAGTTAAGCAAATATATGCCATGGTAGAGCTGGAGAATAGTATGTAATCCTCCTCTCATCAGGAGAGAATTAGATATTTCTTCTAGTGATTTATTTTATTTTTTAGTTTTCAATCTGGAACTCATCACTGATGGAACTTTTAGTCATTTGTCCTACAGAACTGCTTTTAAAAATAATTTTCCTGCCTGATCTTCCCTCACATGATTCTAATGATTCCAGGCAAATTATTAATTTTAAGTATGTGAAAAAATGGCACTGGCTTTAGGAGCACAAACCAATGGCTCCGAGGTGGATAAGAATTGGTATTGCTTTAGTTTCCAAGCTGTTTTGCCTACAAAAGGAGGGTTTATTTCAAAACCTGCAGCAGAAAAACTGTCACTGAGCTTCTAGAAGACACTAAAAGGTTATTTTTAAGATGATGATCCAGAAGGCCCAGCTAGGACCATGAGAAGCCTTCAATAACAATTTTGGCTAAAGGGGAGTTTTGTGTAAGGTTAAGAACAAATAAATATCTCAAACTTACCCTTCACCATATGAAAGCTGTCAGCTATTGTTCCAATAATGACTCGGTTTGAATTTTGTATTTAATCCAACGGAGAAATGATGTCACCTGGGTATAAACTCCTGGCTTGTTTTTTAAACCACACTGATCACCCCAGCTCACAATGCCATATACATAATGGAAGCCATTTTCTACGCAAGTTAGAGGACCTCCAGAGTCTCCCTGATGAGAAAAAACACAAGATTAGTTTAAAATAAGAAGTAAATCATTCACCAATATAAGATTTGCCTTGTCTTATCAAAAGACTTAGAGGCTGGAGTGGTGTTTTTTTTTTCTCCTAGCAGGTGCACCAAAAGGTGCTGATCAGTTCCCAAGTAGGCTTGCAGTTCTGGAACCAGCTCAAACAATACTAGACTTCTTTGGACGTAGGTTTCTGTTTAAGTTTGCAACATGTATCTGAAAAACTCAAATGAAGTTTTCCAGGCATGAAAGTACTAGGCGTTCAGAGCCTGAGCTAAAAAGATAAAAATGTGATCCTTAGCATAAAAGAAAACACCTGACCTTCCTCACACTGGTCCCCTCAAATAATGACAATTATCACTCTAAGTTGGCTGATCTCATTTTCAGTTTTACTGGTGATTTCTATTGTAAGTAAGTTTGCTTGCAGTTTTCAGCACAGGAAGCACCGTTCAAACTCCTCACCAGGCTTATATGAACCAGCTTCACATTTTCACTAGCTACAAGGAAATATCAGTCCTGACTTCTCTAGTAAGTATAAGCTCTGATAGCAAAAATCAGATTAGAATTGTTTCTCGTGGTAGAGGCTATAATAGAATTGAGAGAAAAAGGCAAGTTTTCAAGTTATTATGACAATCTGCCTCAGAAGCCACCTGTCCCAGGCTATTCTTGAGCTCCCATAGATGTGCCTATGGCTGACAGTGATGACATTAGCTCCAGGGATATACATCTCAAACTGTATGGAAGAAAGACAATGGCTGTTGAAATAATACACTGATGGAAGAAACTGATACACATGCAGTACCCTGCCAAAGCTTTTGCTCTGAACAGCCTATTTACACAAAAAATTAGTGTTCAAATACGGAAAAAGCAACAGACCTGACAAGAATCAGTTCTACCTCTCCGAAGATTTCCTGCACAAAACATCCCTTCATCCAGCCTCTGATCATGTGCTCTGGGTGCATTGCATTGCTGCTGCGAAATCAGCTTGACGCTGGCATCTAACAGCTGAAAGGACATGTCATCTGCAGGAAGTACACCAAAAATATTGAGTCACTTCCCTCACATTCCTGTTACACGTTTCTTTTATCAAAATACAGATTTACTTGCCTTATGGATAGGAAGGGCTAAAGAGCAGGAAGGGGCTCGTGGTCTAGCCTGGAAAGAAAAGAAGTATCTGTCTGCATTGATAAGAGTTAGTGTCTGAGCCTGAAAGCTTCATTCAGGACACTGAGCTGTTGCCTGAACAAAACCAAAGTCACACACACACACATTGAGAATCTGGCTCAGATCAGCTCTGCATGTAGCAACGATACCCTGCTTTTCAAAGGTGCTGGTCATCTGCAGCTCCCACTATTAAGTCCAAGGGTACTTAGAGCTGCTCAGCACTTCTCAGGCTAGTGCCATTAGATGTTTTAATATGTGGGCTAATGAAACAGATGAAAACTGAAAATCATGCAATATTTAAAGGCAACGATTAATTACAGTGAATCTAAAGACATAACTTGACATCTAAAGGCAATAGCCAGAGTATCAAAGCACTACCATCTGTAGATAACTAAAGATGGTTTATAAGTTTGGTTCTGCTTGAGTTTAAGGAAATTTTCCATTTCTGCAGTGATTTCCTGAAATGCTAATAATAGCTCTGTGCAAAGAAGGAGCCATCTAGTTTGAACACATACAGGGTACTTGATATTCTTTGCAAGAAAAAAAAATAATACAAAAATTTCCTGTATCCTTTTTAAGATACTTTTTATTTGGAACTTTTTCAAAATGTCTATTAAATTCTGTTGGTGCTTTCTGATCAAATATACGTGCTTGTTCTCTTGTGGACTTCAATGAGACTTACATCAGAAGGAAGAATTTGGCCCTATGTACTGTATCAGGCTGTATCAGTCACAAAGCATTAGGACACCTACTGCAGCCTCAGTGACACATTTTCCTTCTGCTGCTTTACAGCAACACATCAATCAGGACATGAGAAAATGCATTTTTTCAGAAAATTGCCATTATCTTTTCTAAAGCATAATAATTTCTGCCCTCAGGATTTACTGTGGGCAAGAAAGGTTTTGGACAGAGCTAGTTGAACTTGAAAAGCTTTGGATTTTTTTTTTTTTTTTTTCAGTGCATCTGAAGATCCAGATGCTGCTTCTGAAAACTTTAACTGACCCAATGGGCTGGAAAAGCATGCAGATATGCCAGTCTGCCTTGGTCCTTTCTTGAAATACATAAGCAGTACTATAGCTTCTCTCTCAGTACTTCTTGTTTCAATGGATGGCTCCAGATGAAACCATAAGATGCGTGTGTCAGATGACAAACAAAAACAAAAGCATGTTGGGGATTTTTTCCACAACTCTGAAAAGTTTTGTGTGTCTAGCAGTTGGAGCCTTCTGCCAATGAATCATTTCCGAAGGAGGGCTTTGCTGTCCTTAATTTTTAACTCTGTGCCTTGATTTCACTCTGTGCCTAGCCCTGCATTTGTGTCTAGCAATTGCCACTAAAAGCACCAGCTCACCCTGCAATCGAGCTACCAAACAAACTACAGCAAGCCTTGAGAGCTCACATACCTTTCTCTGTCTTGCCCCATCCTGAAATGAAGCAGTCAGTCCCAACAGGAAATTCAAAATCTGGCAGACATGCTGTTTTCACATACTTTGTTTCAATGGCACATTGACCATCAATCGGCTTCAACTTAAGTAATGCTGGAGACAAGGAAAACAAACACAAAGTATTTGAAACTGGTTTTAAACCCTAGCATCACTATCAGTCAGTACCATAACTTTGTTCAAGGCTCCAAGCAACTGACATACAGCCTGCACTACATGCTGAACCTGTCCCTTTATTTTTTTACTCCCCCTCACACATGATTTGTCTTCCAATGATTCATAGGGGTGTAAGCCACAATCTGGCCTAATTATTTCCAGTACACATTCTCAGAGGGCTATTTTATACTGATCTCAGTACCAGGGAGGTACTTTCAGACATCTAATTAAATAAAAAGGCTTTACCAATATCATTGTGTGGGACATCGTCCTCCATTCTGTATCTGTGATGCATGATGACCTTCTCCACATCAAATATTTGCTCCTGATGTTCTCTCCTCTTGAGGTTTTGCTTTCCCAGGGCCACTTGGAGATTTTCTGCATGGCTTCTGCAAAAAGAGTAAAGTAAACTACATTATCCATTGTGGTGGTGCAGAAGTTACAGATGTTGTGTAACAGTGGTGAAAACCTGCAGCTTAACTATCTGGAAGTCAAGATACTGTTTCCTGATGTAAGGTACAAAGAAAAGATTTCCAAAAGTAATAAGACAGCTCAGAAGCGAAAGCTGCAGTGCTGGACAGTATGGGCACTCTTAAATAGTTGCAATCATGAAATAAAACATTATTAATGCTGCATTTTTGTTGCTGCTTTCTTTTTTTAACATTTAATTTTTAAATTAATTTTGAGGGAGAACAGCAGTGTGCAAATAGCCTATTATTGCAGCTGTGAGGATGACTGAATCATAGAATGACCAAGTTTGGAAAAGACTTCCAAGATTATCGAGTGCAACAGCCCACCCACCACCAATATTTCTCCACTAAACTATGTTTTCGATCATTTTAGGTGACTGGGGTGTAAGTTTAATTTGTAATTCCAGCTAGCACCATTTTTTAAAATGTATGTGCATATTTTCGTGTGCGTTTTCCTTTCAATTTGATACCCAGAAATAATTTGGGTTGTAAATCAGTTCAATTCCAAGTTGTCTTTAATGGCCACCTTGTTTTTCATATGTTTATCTGCCCTAAGCAAAGGACATGCACATACTCAACGCAGTGTGCAGCAGTAAGAACCCAGCATGATTTAATTAGCACTCCACCACAGAAGTGTGTTACTCTTCTAGAAGACTTTCTCTGCAGAGATACCATCCAGGGGTGCTTGCCAACTGTAGTTTTAGTTCCACCATAGATTCTCTCGAGTCCGCTTTGACTTTCTGGCTGCCCACAGGTTTTGAACATTTCATTTTCTTGCTCTTGGATCTCCTTATCTGTGTTGGAAGAAATAGCAACGTGTACTGCAGAAACAATATCAGACAGGAGTTAAGTAACAGGCAGTGACCTGCTCATCAGGACCACCTATGCATGGCCAACCTGCTCTCTCCTAAAGCATTACTCTACCTGTTCCAGAGCACAGTGAAACATCACAGAAGTCCCATTTCACTTTGCCATTTTTTCTGATGAAGCACCAGGGCTTTTGATCATAATCAGGATTTCTGAAAGGAAAAGTTGAGAACATCAGCCAACCAAAGTGCAGAAATCTCCTTGAAGCTGCACAAAGGAGCCAAGAATGCTTATGAGAGCACACTTGTGCTTCTACAGGACAGCCAAGCTTCAAGAGATACTCTTCATAAGATCTGATAAAGAAAATACCCGAAATAATGGTGTTGTAACTGCTGCCATTTTACTGTCCTCACAACTATTTTACCCTAAGAAAAACAAAGGAAATTAGGCCCGTTTCTGGAATCTTCACTTCAGTAACAATGGCATCTCCAACATCTCCGTATTTTAGAGAAAGGCATTGTCAAAAACAAACAAACAAAAAAAAAACAAAAAACAAAACAAAAAAAAACCCACAGATTTTAATACCATGATTTTAGCAAATTCATGGGAGCAATTTGTATTCAAGATCTATTTGACATAACTGGCTCTTCAAAAATGTTACCTGCAGAAGTTATGTTCCCCAATGCCATAAGACTCGGCATCCTCCATAAATGCATTAATAGAGAAGTCCAAGAGCAAGTGGGAATTCCAGTGCAGGCAAGTTCTGCCATTCTTTGCTTGGTTCACTCTTCCTCTGTAATAAAAGGAGTCCTCTTCATAACAATCATCCGGTCCTGTAAGACCATGTTGATATGAAAGAGCCTTCTCTGTCATTCCTTGCCTAAAGTGGTTCTTTTTCCCTCTCTCCCTTCCCTACCATTAATTTCACAAAGGATCAGAAGGACCAACAGGGTTACATGAAGACAGTCCTTATCCTGGATAGGCCAGAAATGAGTTATGTCCTGACATCACTTCAGCATAAGTTCCACTGACTTCAAGTGCCCAAAGCCTCTTTACTGGCTAAGACCTAGCTGCTAAGAGGTTTCTCAATGACAAAGCAGAATCTCTCCTCCAGTGGCTTATGCAAGAAATGGTACTGGAGGGATGAGGCAGAGCTGGGTGCAGAGCTACTATCACGACAGGGCAACGGGTGTGCCAAAAGTAAGGTTGCAGGGTTACAATCCTAAACCGTACTGTAAACTGCAGGATGATGCAAAGGTCACCTGCAACACAGAGCAATCAGTGTTACGTTATGAACATCAGCCAGTCATCAGTCAGGCTGACTGTGAGGTGAAGGCGATCTGTGGAGGTTGAACCCCTAGTCTCTCCCCTGGAGCCACAACACTTACCGATCTCACAAAACCTCCCTCGGTAAGGTTCAGGGCACCTGCAGGTGAATTTTGATCTGATTCTGTGCCGAATACAGATTCCTCCATTTTTGCATGGGTTTGGCCTGCATTGTGAAGAAGCTGTTAAGGTGAAAAATCAGAGAACAGCATTGTAACTCTGCTGGACACACTATAGTCCCATTCACATCCCCACCTGAAATCAGGGAAAGCCCTCATTTAACCTTATATGAACTTTAAAATTCGTGCCAGCGTGGAGTTCATTAGTGACCCACCCACCACACAGAGCATGAATCACTCAGCATCATCCCTGCAGATGGGACCTGCAGCCAACACAGGCCCAGAACCACAACACCCTGCAGTGTGGGATCTGTGCCTGCTGAACTGCGCTCACCTTGCTGGCAGTCTGGTAACTTGTAGGGATGGCTACAGCTGCACTGATAGTAAGGTTTGGTTAACGTAACAAGGCAGTCCCCTCTGACACAGCTGTTGTCCACACACATGTCCTCCACTGCAGGAAAACAAAAGAACCAACTTCATCCACATGGAGGAGTGCTGTGCCCTCACAGGCTGATGGGAAGGCATGTTTCTCCTGACCCAGAGAATCATAGAAAATCCCAAGTTGGAAGAAACCAAGGATTGAGTCCACCCAAAAATCAGATCGTATGTCTGAGAATGTTGTCCAAATAAATGCTCCTTGAACTCCAGCAGATAGGTGCCATGCCTGCTGCCCTGGGCAGCCTGTTCCATGCTCATTACCCTCTGGTGCAGCGCCTTTACTTACTCTGCACCTACCCCTCCCCAGGCACAGCTCCATGCCACTCTCTCGGGCCCTGTCACTATCACCAGAGAGCAGAGCTCCATGCTGCTGATCCACTGCCCTTGAAGAGCTGTGGGCCACCATGAGGACTCCCCTCAGCCTCCTCTGCTCTTGGCTGAGCAAACCTCACATACCTTGTCCCACAGACCCTTCACCATGCTTGTAGCCCTCCTCTGGAGGCTGCTCTGGGGTGCCAGAAGAGAGAAGTGTGTTTTCTGCACACTGAAGTGTGCGATGCTGATGCAGCTTTAGACAGACTCTGGCCTGGATCTATTGACATGGCTGGAGAGGGTTGCTAAATCTCTTCCTCCAGCAAAGGGTGGATTTATAAAACTCTATACTTGCTTCCATTGCCTCAGCTGTAAGAACAAGAATAGCAGTCAGCAAAGAAGTGATTACCTTTCTCACAGGTATCCCCAGTATAGGGCCTGGAGCAGAGGCAGGTGAAATTGCTTCCTCTCATCTCACACTGGCCGTTGTTCTTGCAAGGGTTGGAGGAGCACAGATCTTCTAGGGTAAGGACAGAGAGCTTTTAGTTTTGCTTTCAGCTTCTCACCAGCATTTTTTCTTGTGTGCGCTTTCTGTGTGACAAGTGCCACACCATAGGGCTGTACAGAAGGTTGGGCAAGCATCCACCATAACACATGCTTGCCACTGATGGCTGGCCCAGCAATAGCAGGAGCTGCTATGGATCGCTGGGGAGCCTCCTGTATGCTGTAAGGATTAGAGCTCAGGGATTCCCATCTCCCTTTATCAGCCTGTGATGGAGCACATTTGACTTTGTACTAGAAGCAGATCCATTAAGAACGAGAGCTTGCCCTGGGCACATTCCTCCATGCCTTTGGTGTGGAGTTTCCTGGACCTGGTTTTGCCCTGGTCTCAACCTAGCACTAAAACTCCCTTGGAAAAGCCATCCAGAGGAGAAGGTTTATTGCAGTCCCACCTCTCCCCTTGTGATCCCACAGTAGCCCAGGGCATCCTTTCTTGCTCTCCTAAAGTTCAGTAAACTAGAAAAAGGAAAAAAAAAAAAAAAAAAAGAAAGAAAAAAGGAAACCTGCTCTACATTTGGTTTCCAGCACAAATACAGAACGTACATCCCACGAAAACAGCAATTACATCTTACAGTGTCTATAGACAAATAAGCCTGTGTTTTTTTGTAGTAGCAATCAGAAATGTTCTGCATGATCAGAATCCATCCTGTGAAACCTAGAGATAAAACACAGGCTCCTTACAAGAGAAACACAAAAGAGAACACAGCAAACAACCCTCCCCACTCATCCCTTTGAAGCAGGCGTTCTGCAGGCAGGCTGGCAGCCGAGCCCTGCCACGCACTGCATACTGGGGCTGGGATTTCACCCCTTCCTCACCCCCTGCCCACCCCCAGGAGTACCTTGTTGGATTCTTCTGTAGGGAGGGGATAGGTCTACCCAGTCAGGTTCCCCCAAGAGCGTAATCACTTCCGAGAATTCCTCCTCCACCTGCGTGTATTCATCATAGTACTCGTAATACTCATCAGCCTCATCTGTAGGGGAAGGAAATGCAGAAGGGTTATAATTGCTAAAAGCCACCTCTGTGCATGACTGTCCCCAGCTGGGGGCATCTGCTGCGGTGCTTGGAGGGAACACTGACGTTCTTTGTTTAGTTGGTGGTAAGGTCCATACAGACATAGATGAGTCCAATTGGCTGAGAGGGAATGGTCTCAAGTTGCACCAGGAAGATTCAGGCTGGATATTAGGAAAAACATCTCTGAAAGAGTGGTGAGACACTGACACAGGCTGCTCAAAGAGGTGGCAACATCCCTGGAGGAGTTCGAGAAACGTGGAGCTGTGGTATTTAGGGACATGGTTTTGTGGGCAATATTGATGGTAGGTGGACAGCTGGATGTGAGGATCTTAGGTGTCCTTTCCAATCTTAATGATTTCATGATTCTAAGTGTCCTGGGAAGAGGCAACACTACAAGCAGAGGCCTCCTTTGTCTTGCTCAGAGCCTCTTTGAGGGAGCAACATCACTGTGCTGGGGGACACGTGCCACAAAGCACATGCTTGCTTGACGGAGAGCCTAGAGCTCCAGCAGTCCATGTTTGGGGCAGCTGATTTGCATGGGCACATTGCTACCCATGGAAGCCCCGCTGACATGTCAAAGACAAGCTATGATAATGAGCACAGCTAAACTGTGTGCAGAGATTTTAAAAAGCTCTCCCCTAGGGCCGGACCGATGGCCCCATGGATAATGCTCTGCCTTGAACTGATTATCGACTACATTATCTTAGTTTTCTCTCCTCATTCATTCCCTTGCAGCCTTTATCTTTATTCTTTCTTTGCTTCTGAAAAAAAAAAAAAATCCACTTTTGTACAATGGGTGTTTTATATTTCATATTAAAATAGAATCATCTTTTTTTTCTTCTTTTTTTTCCCCCTTCCTACATGCCAACTCTCGTTTCTCACAAAAAAAAAAAAGAGAAAAGTTTCACCTCATTTATTGCTATGTCAAGTCAAGACTCCTTTTACTCAGCTCATTATTTCCACAGGAGCCGAGTCTCGACAGTGTGCAAGTGTTGCAGAAGTGTGCGCTGTGCTGAGGAACAGAAGGATCTCGTTGGAAGATAAGGACATTGTCTACCGTGAACAAAATTAAATTTAATGTGATGTAGTTAAGAAAGGAAAACAAAAAGAAGGTTTTGCCTGAAATGCAACCTGCAAGCTCACTTCGTCTGAGGGGAGATTCTGCAGGCGGACTCGAGTTTGAGGGAATATTGTGCAGGAGCCTGGTTTTGTTTCCCCTGTTTATTTTCAAAATCTTAGCAGGGAACGTCAGCTTTTGTTCCACAGGTGCTTTAAGGAGCTATTCGGAGAGACAGGGTAGCCTTTTTTCTATCTTTCTTCTCTAAAAGACACAGCTGGTAAAAGTTGTGAAGGATGAGCGGAGGAGTTGGGGCTGCTGAGAGCACCCAGCAGACATGCCCAGCATGCGGTACAGGGAGCGCAAGGGCTTTGCTGAATTGATAGAGGAAAAACAAGTGCTCCAAACAAGCACAGACAGCGAAGCCACTGCAGAAACATCTACCAACTGTAAGGACAGTGCTCAGAAATGACGATACCGTCACTTCGTTTTGCTGCATTGGTACCATCTCCTAGCAATGAATCAATCATTTATTAAGCACTATAAGAATAAAGAAGAACAGACTCCCCTGACTTGGGTACATCAAACAAAGATGTCTTCCTGTTTATCACTGCTATATCACTAAATAACTATTTGGCTTCCACATCTCTTACTTAAGAAGTGTTCCCATTCCATTTTTTTTTTTTTTTAATTATTCATAACAAGCCATAGATTTAGTAAAGCAAAAGCAACATTTTTTTTTAATCTGAGCACATAATTAACACACCAAATCTGATACACTGGTTGATTTAAACACATTACTAAATCAGAGTGCTCATTCTCTGTAAGCGCTGGAAAACCTTGACATGCTTTAAAAAGCAGTGATCTGACATTTGTCACCAAAACGTGACTATTACACGACATTAAATTAGACATCCTGCATGCAAATTTTCAAAGAGTAACTTTCTTCTGTGTAGTACAGAAAAAAAAAAATCCCCCCATAATTGATAGGCAAGAGATTGACTTTTAAAGCTTCAAATCAGCTTTGAGGTCTGGGTGATCTTTTAAACTGCTCAAGCTTTCATCTGCACTTTTTCACATTGCCAAGACCCGTCAATCACGTAATGGATTTCTGATCAATATCCTCTTGTTCGTTAGCTTACATGGACTGTCTGTTATAGGGAGAACAGATATCTCAATGCTGGCAGTCACACTGTTTTCAAAACCTTGCCTGGATCAAGTCATGACTAATGTTCCAAGTGAGAAAGTGATGCATTAGGATGCCATCGAGTGACCCGAATGGCAAGGTAACTTTGTTGGACTGCAGTTGTCGAGATGAGTGATGTGCAAATTTAAAGCTTATTGCCAACGCTGAAGGCACCCAGCATTTATTCAAACTCTCTGAACCTCTGGGGACGAACGGAAATCTGGCCTAATTTAAGCAGGATGAGTTTTCCTGCCACCTCTCTAAATACTTTCTGTCTGAGGGTCTGTGAATAATACAAAGTTATTTTTATGAAGCTGAAATTGCGATGGTACTTCAAATACCAGTAGGTCTCCCACTTGCTTCTGCACAGACCTCTTGGTATTTCCTCCCTTCCACAAAAGCTTTGGCTGTGAGCATTTGTGACTTCAGAAAGAAATTGCAAAAGGAATAAGAACAGCGAACAGCCAAACCCTCACTCCTTTCAAACAGTTTTGGGGCTGTTTCACTATAGTGAAACTATACTGTTTCACATATAGTGAAACTAAAGCAGCTGAGGATGTGGAAACTAAATACCGATCTGGAACATTCTATAAGGAGAGCAGAATTAATCTGGGGAAAGAACCAGAGCTGTATGGATATTGGGCCACAGGACTCACAGGTTGGACCAAAAAGACACAATGACATAGTTGCCTTTTGCACCACAAAATGAGAAGCAGGAAGGCCTAGGAGTGCAGACCATGCTGCCTGTCCAAAGCACAATAACATCCTATTTGATCTCAGCTGTTGCTTTAAGGGCTACAAAGCTGCACAAGAAGTTAAAACTCAACACTGACCTCAGCCATGGATCTCGATGGACCAGGCTGCCAACATCTCAGGCTCATATGCAGAATTTAATGGAAGAAATCAAAGCCACTTACCATTCAGAAGGTTGGTCAGGAAGGACCAGGAAGGCTGCAGGACAGGATAAAGAAGGGCAGAGTCAGTTTCTGGAAACAAATCCAAGCTGGGTATTGGCTTATGGCACAACCTGTGGTTAGTTGACTTCACTCTGGTGCTGGACATCCAGATAAATCCATTGCCCACTCCAGAGATGCCCACCCCCCGCAGTACTTCTAAGAGAGTCCTTTCAGATTTACGTGGTTTTTCTGATAAAACCACATTACTCCCAGCAACCCAGCTTCTCTCAACTCCAGATTCTCTGAGCATCCAGCCAAAGTTGCAGTGTGCTTGTAAAACACTGGTCCCAAACAAGTTAGTTACTTCTTCGCTTATTAAGTGATGGCATTATCTAACAGCAATGCAGCCAGCTACCAGGCACATCCTTCCCATGAGGAAATGCCATACGTTCACCCTCTGACATGGGGCTCCAGCCTTTCCTTTTTGGCTCCTGATCAAGGCCAAATGACAAAAGGGAACAGGAGCAGGAAGAAAACAGCACTCAGCCTTTGAAGAACAAGTGAGGCAGAAAGGAAACGTACCAACACCACATCAAGATTCATTCCCCATGCAGAGGTGTCAGCATGCATCCCCTTTTGTTGTAAATCACAGTTGCAGACAGGGCTACCTAGCTGCAACGAGGAACCTGTGCTAGTAACAGACATATAAGAAATTATGTGGAGCTACTACATCAGCATTCTTAGCTAAAACCTGACTGCAACTGGGAGCAAATGAATGTGAGCAGTGAATAAGAACCTTGCTTCGTTACTCAGAACAGCTCACACCTGCTGCTACCCCAGCACATGCACCTGAGGTTGCCTGAAGCCTGTTTACATCCCCCTGGAGGCAGGGAGTGGTGGCTTTTCTGCTTGGCTTCTATGCTTTACTATGCAGCCTCTGTGTACCTGCACCTTATTTCCCTCCTCAGCTATCCATACTTCTCCTTTGTGCCATTTGCTCAGTGGGTTTGTGGACAGAATCTTTTGACTTTAAGGAGACTACTAAAACTCCCCTGCACTTGGGGCAGCCATTTACTCTGCATGGGAAGGGTAGAGTGCCAGCTTGGGCTATATCAGGTATGCAGTGCATCATTGCTTAGATGTAAAGAAGAGAAAGAATGGAGCCTAAGCACGTTATTATTTCTATTATTACTGCTTTTCCCCCATAGCTGTCTCCCTTCCAAACCTTCTCCCATGGACAGAGCTGCTTGCAAGATAGCAAGATGCCCTGGCCTCCCTCTTGCAATAACCTGCTGCCCTGGAAAATATACAGGTTTCCATCAGCATCCATCACTCCTTTGTACTTCAGGGTGGCTAAGCCTTAGATTTGCATTCTTAATTTTGGATTAAGGCCGTTACCTGCTGACACAACGCAAATGTTCCTTGGAACAAATGCTCCCAGGAGATCAACCCAACCTTTATCACAGCTCCGTTGTGCTGCTTCTCTTTCCCCCTCAGATACGTGATGCAGAATTGTAGAGGATAAAACCCCAGGTAGATCTGGCCTCCTAACATGAAGACTTTACTCCTCCCTTGAGATATCCACCAGATCGCACTGCTTCAGACAACCTCCACCTCTGCTAGCTGACACAAAGCCAAATTTCACCTTTTGGTCTCATACATGAACCTTTTTATGGTGCTGCATAGCTGAGGCCAGCGAAAAGCCCCTCTCCTTTCCTCCTGCAGGCATGAACTTGCCCTTTCCTATGTGCCATGAAGGAGGCTGCAGGGCATGGGATGGGAGATGGGATGGAGGAAGTGGGATGGGGAATGTGGGAGGTGGGATGCAGTATGAGGGAGATGGGATGGAGGACATGGGATGGGGTATGAAGAATGAGGGAGGTGGAATATAGCATGCAAGAGGGGACATGGAATGTGGGATGTGAGAGGTGGTTTGCAGGAGGGGATGCAGGTGGGGATGTAGGAAGGGGACTACAGGGGGGGGACAAGGCATGGAGGCCTGGTGGGGCAGCACAGCAGCGTGGCAAGGCCCCTCGCCGCCGTGCCGTATTGCTCATGGCCAGCAGAGGAGGATCTTGTCCTTCCAACGAGGTGCGATGCTGCGCCCAGCCGGGAGCAAGACGCGAACAAAAGGAGGAGAAGCGGTGGGGGGGGGTGCGGGGGGGAGAAGAAACGAAGCTGTGGGGCTTGTTTCACCAAACAGCCTCCTTTCTGCAGCCCGGCACCGATACTTTGTGCGTTTTCTCAAGAGGGAATAAAATCGCCGGATCCTGCTGGCAGCGTGTTTACAGAGACGGGGGAATGAAGCTGGAAGAATTTGCGGAGAGCAATTTTAAATTTTATGACTTTAGGCTCTTAAAAAAGAAACCCTGCAAAAAAGAAAAATGCAGGAGAGGCATTTTACGTGGGTACCGGTACATAGTTTGGAGTCGATTACACTTATAGGGTGCCTAAAAAAAAGGGTGGGCTAATGGTTGAAATTCAAAATACCTGATTTAATCTGACCTTTGTTGTTGTCATCATCATAGGGATTAACACTTCACTAAGGCTTCATTTCTCCAAAGAACCATTGAAACTTTGCTAATTAGGCTTTGTACAAAGGTTAAACACTGCAGAGATACGATGCTCTCCATTTTTCCATTTCAACTCCTTAAGAAAGGCTAATAAAATAGATTTCAAACAGCAGTGCTAGAACTGGGAGCCTTCTTACATCTCAGGACAGAATCCTACAGCTCTTAACAAAAATGTCCAGTTAATCTCTGGCAGTTCTTTCGGAATAAAGGAGGAAGATTTGACCCTAAATTCAAGGGAAGTTATTTACAGCTGCCAAGGGCATTCTGCAGTTGAATTGTTGCTTATGTCTTGCTACCCCTTATTACAATCAAGATGAATAATTACAATACAAAAGCTGGTGGAGGAACAGGCAGCACAAAGGCGACAAGGCAAGCTGTGAATTTACATATGTGCAAACCAGAAGTGATTCCAGAGAAAATAGTGTCGTTATTTGAGCTGGTGAGGCAAAGGGATGAAAACTGCCCCTCCACATATATATCATTCCCAATAAAGCCCTACAGGAGTTCAGAAATTCAGCTGCATCTCGTATGAGTTGCTTGCTTAATTGCACTAAATCAAGGCATTTCTCCTGCAACTCACCACAAAGTGGCCTCTATGGCAGCAAACCAAGCGTCTGCCCTTTCCTCTGCGCAATCTCAGCCTTGCAGCCGGGGAGGTGGTGGCACAGGGCTGTGCTGGAGAGCGAGGAAGGCTATTTGATCAGCTTCTACCCACAGCTGACATCCGGCACGGAGGAGCCACGAGGGCAGGCACAACTACTGCTTTTCCTCGGGAACCCCTTGATCCTGCTGACAGCTCTCAGTGGGAACCTTTGTCTGGGCTCTTCGCCAAAGGAGGAGGGAATTGATGGTTCTGATGCTCTTACAATCGGCCAGATTTTTGCCTGCAACCATCTTGGATAGTGACAGTCTTTGAACTTCAAGGCAAAATGGCTTTTCCAGCAATGACATTACATTACTCAGCCAAGGCGATGGCTGTGGTATAATGAAAGCAGGGCATATCATCATCTGGAGCACACATGCAATGCACGTTGTATTTTTAGCCTGGGAAACCATTCCCTTAAAGGATTCCACCAAAACCCCCAAGTTGTTCACCTCTCTGCTAGCAAGCCATCTCCTGCCTGTGTGCTGAACTGCAGTGTTTGCCCCAGAGTATACAGCACGTTCCTTATTAACTGGTGGCAGGACTTCCAGAGAAGTTTACGTACAACATTTTTCTTTCATTTAGCTGGTGAGGAATTGGCACATGCTAGTCAGGGAGGTGATGCCATCACCACCCTTGAGGCATTCAGGAAATGGGAAAATGTAGCACTCAGGGACACGGTCAGTGGGCATGGTGGGGATGGGTTGATGGATGGACTAGATGGTCTTAGTGGTCTTTTCCAGCTTTAATAGTTCTATGATTTTACTGGTTATTCAGTTGCAGACCCTTCCTGTGGTCACACTTGATCCAAAATGCACGAGGATCCAAAAGAAGCACAGCACAGCTCTCACAGGTGCTGCAGGAGGCAGCTTGCTTCCCTGCACAGGCATGACCTGCTCCTGCCTTCCAAGAGATCAAAGTTTCCAAGTTAATCTTTACTCTGTGGGAGATGGTCTGCTAGCAGCTGGCTGTTTTTAAAGCTGCTCTCACTGGTGGATGAGGTGTGTGTGTTCCCCGGTGGAAAACAGGGCCAGCCTGCGATGCCAGAGTGAGGGGAAGGCATGAAACCCATTCCAAGGAGGTTATGCAAACCCACCCTGTCGCACTGAATGCTTTGGCAGCCAGTGCTGGGCTCATAGGTTATGCTGCTCGACTTAAAGCTTATGCAAAGTCATTAAGTCCCTTTAGTTACAGGGGATATCAACCTGCATGCTGCAGGGCATAAGCTGATTGCCTTGGGGGGCCAAAGAGACGCATGTCCCTCTCGGAGTGCAATTAGCTGGAGGCACTCCTGGGGCTTCCTCGCCTTCCTGCTGCATCAGGCAAAGTGAGGCGGTGCCGCAGGGGGGCACTGCACCTCGTAGGGTGCAAAGGGAGAGGGGTTTGACAGCCCTTGCTCCGCTCTGCAGTGGTGCAGCAGAACTGAGAGTCGCGGGAAGATGGGTGAGTAGAGCAGAAATGGGAGTTTATGACAGGAATGGATCCACGAGTGGGCAGAAAAACTAACATAAGAAGGTGTCAGACAGGCACTTTGGATCTTTTCACCCTAAAGTATGGTTTTCCAAACACTCAAAGCATGGAAAAAGACCTGTGCTGCTGGTAACAGCTTCACATGTGTTGTGGGCCAGCTAGGAAACAGGGATCAATGGGAAGTTTTCATAGAATCACAGAACCACAGAATCATACAATCGTAGAATGACTTAGGTTGGAACGGATCTTAGAGATCATCCAGTTCCAGCCCACTGCTGAGGGCAGGACTGACAGGTTTTCCTTGCAATTGTTTGATCTTCATGCAATGCTTTGTTCTTTTCTGTTCCAATACTAAATGCACTTGACTACTGGACTGGACATGGGTGGGAACTTCAAAACCCTCTTCATCACCCTCTCCATAAGACATCAAGTTTTTGAAGATCCAAAATGTTCAGTGAAGACCCACAGCTGCTGCTTCGACTCCTGCACTTCTCTCTCTCTGCTGCCTGTGGTGCTGAGTATGGAGGGAACACTGATAGGAGGGAAAAGCCTGATCTGAACATCTGTTGATTTACAAACAACTAGAACTTCATTAACTGGAAGCCCAGCACAGGAGCAGCTCCTGCCCCGGAATGTGTGGGATCCAGCTCAGACTCATCTTTTTGCCAGTTTCTTTAGGCATGGCATTTAAGTGTACCATTCAAATCCACGTCTATTTCAGAAAAGATTCAGTGCAAGTCTGGGTAAGGCAGGATGCTCAGTGGAATGGCTCTGTCTGAGTGTTGGTAATAACCTGCATCAGCAGAGCTCACTGAAATTCTTTCTGGCAAAAAGTGAGGAATACTTGAAAATACTGCACTTTATGCCAGGAATATTTCTACCACAGCATCTTATTGAGAAGAAATGTATTGATTTCTCTAAAAAGTCCTTGTCCATACAGAGCCAATGTGTGGATCCATGAGGATCTATTGCAATTAAAAGCAAAACAAAAAAACCCTACTCAAAACAAAACTGAAAACTGGGAAGACCAGTTACATCCAAAGGCAATATTTTGTACAGTTGCACACACATATTAAAACAGGAGCAAATTTTGCTCTCACTTGCATCCGTGATGCATTTTCATGCCCTGTATAGAAATACTTTGGATTCATGCAGGTGAAATCAGTTTTTCCTCAGGATATGAAAGAATGGATAGAAGTTGTTTCTTTATAGTCCTCCAAACCATCTGGATCCATAAATGTCCCAGATCTTTTCTGTCCTATTTTGACTGACTCAGTATGAGCTAATGTCTAAATCTGTGTTTGACTTCTGCTATATAACATCAATAGCATTTGTAAAGAGGAATGTTACTTACACAAACTCCTAAAACTAGACTTGAATAAAAGCAAGAAGGATGAAAACAGGAATTTGGCTGTGTATGGGAGGGGAATCCACTGTTACATCAGTGTGCAAAGTCTATTG